CCCCAAAACCCCAAAACCCCAAAACCCCGCAAAGAATCAATTCTTTTAAGCTATGATAATAATTAATTATAAAATATTAAAATGTCAAATTAATAGAATGATCAAGCTGTGACTTCAGACTCAGATCAAGATAACAACGGAGGTGGCTTTGATTTGCTTGCTATGATAAACAAGAAAGTAGTGAACCAATAATCTCTTTAAGAGTAAAAAAACCAACAATGTATATCTTCAACTCTTAATATTGATCAGTAACAAAACATTTGTCAAAAATTTTTACTAAATTCACTTTCAATTATAGTGGAATTGAATTAGAATGAAAATTCCATTCTTTTAAATCAAGGTATGATAATTAATTATGCAATTCATATGAATATAGAAAACCAAGAATTATAGGAGTATTACTAGGCAAAGCGTTAGCAAGCAGAGGAAAGATTAAATGAGAGAATTCAAGTGCTGAGACTATTCAAGGGCAATGGAGAAAATATCTAGCAAAAGATGAAGTTGCTTGAAAAAATACCGCAATAGACTAGTGAGTGTCTCGATGCTGAACTTGAGGTATGCATTTATATCAAACAATTTTCTATGATAAATTATTCAAAAATATAGAGAAATCTTAAAAGATTAATTAAGGAGGCTGAGGACTTCGAATAAGACTAATTGCATTAAGGAATATCGCAAGATTACTTGATTTCCCCATCGTTTGTGCTGACTCCATTTACTCAGAGGCTAATCAACGAAACTAGAGAGTATGCAAATCCACTAATTTTGGAAAAGGTCGTATCATATTATGATTTGGATGAGATCGGCTCGAACTATTCCAAGGATGTCTACAATCCACACAACAAGGAACCAGATGACTTTTACGAAGAGATTGCAAGAAGACAAAATGAAATGATGCTTCAGCAGCAGGAAGAAATGATAAGAAAGCGTCGAATGCTTGAATAGCAAAGAGAGAAGTTAGTTGAGAGCAGAGCTCAAAGAATAGCTGAGATGACTAATACTGATGTCAAAATGGTTGAGGAAACATTATTAATGGCTAATTAGAAGAAAAATCAACTGGGGTCTAGATTCGATAATGTCAATGCTAATCCTATCATGCCTCTAATGCCTAGAAGAATGTGAAAGTAAATAATTAATTACAAACGAAATCGCTTTATTCTGAATTTTTATTTTTCAATTAGAAATTATAATGGTCCCACGGGGTTTTGGGGTTTTGGGGTTTTGGGG